GCTCTCATGAGAGCAATTGTAATAAAATAAATCTTACAAACGATAAAATCAATAACACGAAACGAAATTAACTCTAAGAAAAAAATGAAACGTGCTGATTTTTAAGCATCTTCTTCTAAAACAAAGATTTACCAAATTAATAGCATAAATGACCATCAAATAAAATTTAGGTATAATAAATACATATTATCAACACACTATACACATTAGAAAAAAATATTAATACTACTGTCAGATTATTTAATACGTTTCTTTGTGAACGCCCTCTAGGAACTGTAGTAACGCATTTACTTTTCTTTGAAAAGATAACTTGCAATGACTATTTTAACCGTAAACAAACTAAACTGAAAAATCTTAGTGATGGCGACTACAACGATTTTGATGTTTTGTAAATCCGTGTGACTTAATCGCGAAACCGTTAAAAAAGTTTAAACCACACGGGGGGATTGAAGAATTAAGTTACAGCGAGTTCATTGATGAAACTACCTGTGGTTTGGACGTGTATCCACTAAGTTTAAGTTAACGCCATACGCTGGTTTTCAATAATTATGTTAAAGTGAGTTAATTGTTGAAACAACGTGTGGTTTGACGTGGATCCACTAAGTTTAAGTTAACGCCATACGCTGGTTTTCAAGAATTATGTTAAAGTGAGTTAATTGTTGAAACAACGTGTGGTTTGGACGTGTATCCACTAAGTTTAAGTTAACACCATACGCTGGTTTTCAATAATTATGTTAAAGTGAGTTAATTGTTGAAACAACGTGTGATTTAGACGTGGATCCACTACAAAAAGTTTAATTTAAAGCCACACGATGGATTTCAAGAACTATGTTACTGTAGGTTCATTAGGACTCCTTAAAGCGTTACTGAGGAACTTGGAAAATGGTTAATAATGTGTGAACAGGATTGATTTTAGAAGCTCAGTTTTAATATCACGAAACTATTATTGTGTTAAAGTGTTAGAAGAGAAAACTTCCCCAAGAAGAGTTTATAAAAAAATAGTTCTAATTATTACCAAAGAGTTTTTATGATGCTACCGTTTGATCTGACGCTAAACTTACAGTACGTTTTGAATACAATCTAACCATTACTAGTGATGTATTGAAAAACTAATCGATTATCAAGGCTTACACTGGATAGAATTTATAATAAAATGCTCGAAAGATTGTAGTACAATTTCAAAACCAAGAGAATTCAAAAGTTATAATTATTGTAATGCATTATTATGTTGAGACCCCTTTATATCCTAGTTAAAATGTTCTAAGTACTGATAAGCTGATATACTGAGACCCTTTATATCCTAGTTAAAATGTTCTAAGTACTGATAAGCTGATATACTGAGACCCTTTATATCCTAGTTAAAATGTTCTAAGTACTGATAAGCTGATATATTGGGACCCCTTTTATCTTAGTTAAATGTTCTAAGTACTTGTATTAACGCTCATATACTGTAGACCCTTTATATACCTAGTTAAAACTGTTACTAAGTAC